CCCCAGACCATCCCCAGGGCCTGTGGCGTGAAGGGTGTTGGGTGTTGGTTCTGCATGGTCCAGGGGCACCCCTGGGTGCCTCTGTGGGGTGCTAGGGCCTGGCTGGCTGGAGCTGCTGTCCCCAGCGAGCTGCCTGGTCCCTGCACCCCAATTTTCCACCCCAAAGAGTGGGATGATTATCCCTGCAATAACTCACGCTGGGCAGGAACAACTCTTTCTGCTTTTATTGTCAATGAAGAAATAATCAAATCTATATTACAATCTTAAAAACAGTAGAAAATGTGAGTAAAAATGCAACGGAGGCTTTTTGTCTTTAATGTGGAGACCATTATTACAGGGTGGTGAACAATGGGCTTGTGGAACTTGATTTGAGAACTAGCTGTGGCATAAAAATCGTACCTGGCTACTCGAGGAAACACCTCCTGGATGGATCGGCCTGGTGGCTTGGCAGTAAATTAAATACTAGAGACAGAAAGGGATCAGGGGCCCACCCAGGGCACAGCCTAGTGCTCAGTCCTACCATGGACAGGGTATCAGCCTCCCAGTGTCACCACTGGGGACACACTGGTCCGTCCAGTCCTGTTGCTGGCCAAGGGCTGCGCTTGCCCCCAAGGCCCAGGGTCACCCCAGCCCCGGCCCAGCTGGGGGGACGCAGGCAGAGGAGGGCACTGGCATTGGAAGAACTTCCTCTGCTGTTCCAGCCATCCAGGGTGGGTGTGAGGGGCAGCTGGAGCAGCCGTGGGCCAGCCCCGTGGGAGAGCTGCCCACCGGGGCAGCAGCAGGCAGTGGTTGGTGCAGAGAGGAGCTGCAGCAGTCATTTCCGAGTGGCGTGGTCACCCACAGGCCGATGGAGGGGAGAGTTTTTGGTCTTTCAGTGTGCAGGACTAGTGTGATGCTCTTGCTAGCACGTCCAGACCTGCAGAGAGACAACAGAAACCCATGGCAGTGACTCCTGAGCAGCTCCGTGGGCTTCTCCTTATCCTCCCGTGGAGATTCCCTTTGGACTGCCACCATTCACGACACCCTGGCAGGACTGACACCTCCCACACATGCAGAACCATCCCTGTGTTCCACAGAATCACAGAATCATTGAGGTTGGAAAGGACCTCCAAGAACATCAAGTCCAACCAGTGACTGATCTCCACCTTGTCAACCAGACCAGAGCACTATGTGCCATGTCCAGTCATTCCATCAACACCTCCAAGGATGTTGACTCCACCCCCTCCCTGGGGAGTTCCAATGCTTGACAACCCTTTCCATGAAGAAATTCATCCTGATGTCCAACCTGAACCTTCCCTGGTGCAGTTTGAGGCCATTTCCTCTCATCCTGTTGTTAGCTGCCTGTAGAAGAGACCAACCCCCACCTTGCTACAACCTCCTCCGATTTGTTTGAAGACAGCTCCTAACTCGTTCAATGTCCTAATTCCAGCACCGGAAGAGCCCAACCCATGCAGGAGAAGCCTGAGTGAACCTACCTTTACAGTGCTGTCCACAGCACCAGAGAAGAGGCGCCCGCGGGAGACGGCAAGGGCGGTGACACTGCCCTGGTGCCGCAGCAGTGTCTGGGTACAGATCATGTTGTCCATGCTCCACACCTGTGGGCACACAGAGGGGTGAGCCAGGCAAGGGAGGGAAGAGGGATGTCACGTGCCACAGGTGACACGCTGAGGCCATGTGGCACACAGGGATGAGGAGCCCCATCCACCCTCCCCTCAGGTGCTCCATGCTGTCAGAGCCACCCTGCGCACACATACCCTGAGGGACCGGTCGTAGGATGCGCTGAAGACTTTGGTTTGATCAGGTGTGGAGATGACAGCGAGGGCATACACTGTGCCCACATGCCCTGTCAGCGTGCGCACCTGCTCCTTTGTCTCTATGTCCCAGACCTGTGGAAGGAGAGTCAGGCTTGGAGCTGTGCTGGGCTGAGGATACCAACCTCTCCTCCGAGAGCTGTTTCCACGTCTAGGGTGGATGCTGTGCCCTCACGCTCCAGGTGAGGGAACAGGCAGAGCCAGGTGCTCCTCTCCCCCAACCTCAACCCAACAAATCATGGAATCACTGAATTCTTTGTCTCTATGTCCCAGACCTGTGGAAGGAGAGTCAGGCTTGGAGCTGTGCTGGGCTGAGGATACCAACCTCTCCTCCGAGAGCTGTTTCCACGTCTAGGGTGGATGCTGTGCCCTCACGCTCCAGGTGAGGGAACAGGCAGAGCCAGGTGCTCCTCTCCCCCAACCTCAACCCAACAAATCATGGAATCACTGAATTATAAAGGTTGGACCTCTAAGATAAGATCATCAAGTCCAACTGTTAACCTCTCATTCCACTCTAACCCCTAAACCGTATCTTCCAGTGCCAGGTCCAGACACCTCCTAAACCCTTCCAGGGATGGTGACTCCACCACCTCCCTGGGCAGTACTCCAGGTGGGAATCCCTCCCAGCGCTTCCTTACGTGGATGAGGTTCTCGTAGGTGCCGCAGACGATGTGGTGGTTGGTCACAGCGATGGAGTACACGCTGCCCCCGGACGTCTGTAGGACGTGCACACACTCCAGGTTGCGGATGTCCCAGATCTGGAAGGAACACCAACGCAGGATGAGACCCATGCAGGTACCCATCTCCAGTGGGGAGATCCCTAGCAGTCATTCTGTCATGCAAAGTCAGTCTCTGGCTCTATGTGTGCCCAGGTCGCATCCTTAAGGACAAATCTATCCGGCTGAGGATGTCCAGTACTGCTGAGCACAGCCCTGCGGTCTCATTTAGCTGCCCAGCTGTGAACAGCCAGGCTAAAAACATTGTGGGGACTGCACATCTTTTGTGTGTGACTATACACACAACCCATTCCTTGATAGCACCAAGGCCTGATGCAGACAAACTAACAGGGATTTATTAGCACTGAGGAGGGCAACTTCCAATTCTCCTGTGTCCCTCAGATGCTGAGAGGTGAACTATGCATCAAACCCTGAGCCAGCACAGAGGAGGCAGGGCACTGGGAACCCTCACAGGGATTTATGGCAGTTCTGCAGCCAGTGACCTTCTCCTCTTATCAGCAGGAGTGTCAGTGTAGATAAGGCTGCGGCAGCCGCGGAGGCAGCGCGAGGCACCAGGGCTGAGGCGCCAGTTGCCCCAGTGAGCCTCCCCAGCAGCTCCTGAGGTCCAGCCAGAGCCTTTGTGCCTGCAGAGATGCAATCAGCACATGAAAATCCCGTGTGTCAGCAGTGCCCTCATATCCCCACAGCTGCCTTCGGTCCTGCCTCGCCGACACTGCAGAGTACAGAGAGGCACAGGGAGAGCCACTGGCTCACAGCTGTCAGGAGGGTCAGGGTCCCACCTTGATTGTCTGGTAAGATCCACTGTACAGGTAGTTCTGAGAAGCCACCAGCGCTCGCACCCAGTGGTTGAGGCCTGTCAGCTCCTTCTTCAGCTTGAGCTCAGTACCTACGATATCCCAGACCTGTGGGAAGCACAGACACAAACAGCCATGGAGGGGAATCCAGTGGGACTGGGCACAACGGGGCCAGCACCGCACACCCTGCCCACCCTGTACTAGGCCCTCACAGCTCCTGGTGCAGATTCTTGTGCAGGATCTCCTGCTTGGTGGGAATCACCTGAATCCACTGCCTTGGTAATAAATCACACAAGAAGTGCTGAGCAAGCACGTGCCCTGAGGGA